CTTTTTTTTTTTTTTTTTTTTTAAATTAAAAATACTCCTGGCTAAAACCTTTCACTGCCCCGAAATGGAGACAGAGCCATGTGAAAGCAGCAGGGGCAGAGCGTGTGCTCACAGTACTCCTAGATAAGATGTCAGTGTTTGAGGAGGAGAGCTCTGGTCCAAGAAGGAAGGGCTTGGAAGGACAGTCCTCGTGTGGGATCTGCAGGTCCTGGTGTGCCAGCAGCATCAGCTGATTGCTGCAGGCTGGGCTGGAGGGACAGGGCTGGCTCTCACATTTCCAGGAGAACACGGAGCTCAGCACTTGAGCGCCACTGGAGTCGTTCCAGGCGGCTCAGATGTGGAAAAATTTATATGAAATGTTGAAATTGGAGAGCAGCAGAACTTACAGATGTGAGCTGACACTTGAATAAATGGATATGTAAATAGATAGCTGCAGGTAAAGCTGCAGGGGATGTGTGCTTGTAGCCACACTAAATATGTGTGCATACATCCGCAGACATGCACGTGTATAAATATTTGAAAACCCTTTGTGTCCTGGCTTAACTTAGCTTTTTCTTTTCCTATCACTGTGCATTTTGGCTGCAGCCTTTAAGTGGAAACCTCCCAACGTGATGTTTTTACTGTTCATGACCTGGCAAGAGTTAAGGCAGTTTTAGAAAGCTGACGAATCTTCTCTTGTCCCATTTCTGGAAACAAAATCCAGTTGACCTCTGGATTGTGGGATGTTTAATGTGCGAATTGGTGTCGTTCCCCCTCTCACCTCCCCTCAGCCCTGCCGAGGATGGGTCTTGCTTCCTCTCCCAGCGCTGTGGTGTACAATAAAAAAAGCCAGGAAATGGGGCCTGGGTTACGCAATGTGCAGCTCAGTAAAACAAACAGTGCAGACAGTCCCCAGTATCTTCAGATGACTCAGTTGAAAACGTTGCTTCCTAGCAATGGAGCAGTGCCCTGCTGGAATAAACCTCCCAAACACTTGCAGTAAATGCTGGATGTTGTTTGTCCTAGCGAAGGTCACTTTCTCCAGCCCAAGTGATTATTGATTGGATCTCCAGGTTTCTAGACCTTGGAACCCACACGTTTTGTTTTCAGCTTTGCTTGGTTTGCTTTTGGTGGCAGGAACCTGTTCCTCTGTGTCTGAAACAATCCCAGTCCTTTGATTTGAGCTCCAGTAAGAGATGGTTTGAGGGTTCTGTTTTTCGGTGGGAATGGGGGAAAGATGAATTGTTGGGTCGTGCTGTCAGCAGCCAAGAACCACAGTGGGGATGGAGCTGAGATGCACTTGTGAGCCAGCTTTATGTTGTCACTTATCTGCAAACGCAGTGGAGAAGGGGTTATTCCATCAGCACAGGCAGCACCCTCATGAATAGGCTGATGGCCCAGTGTCAGCCCCATTCATGGGGCCGTGTTTGGAGGGGGAAGGGAGGTGGACCCAGCCCCATAAAGTTCCTATTGTTCTAAAAGCAGAAACATCTGCTGGAGGAGCGTTTTTGCTGAGCTCAGCAGCGGGGAGCCGCTCGTTGACCAGTTCTGGTCTTTCCACTCCGTATTTCTCACTCTTCTACATAATAATGCAGAATTTTCTTCTCATAGGGAGGGCAAAAAAAAAAAAAAAAAAAAGTTCGATTAACCGTGGGGGATACGTGCACTTGGGATAAACGAAAAGCTGGCAAACAAAGGGAGCTTTATGTGAGCTGGTGGCCAATAATGCTCAGGTTTCCAGAGCTCGGTGTTGCTGTTTACTTGTTCCAAGCTTGTCACGAAGCACAAACCTCACGGGATGCTCGTTCCGGCGGCGCGTCGGGACCCAGGGGGTGTGCTGGTGGTGTCTGTCCTTCCCTGTCACCTCGTGGCACCCTTCCCCGGGGCTGTGATGAGCTCCACATCGCTGTCGACAAAGCCCCACTGGCCTTTGCCGGGGTGACTGCTGCACTTCACTATTCTCATCTCATTTTAGGCAAAAAGGTTCAGGTGCGTAAACCTGCACCAGGAGCTTCCGATGCTGTTCCCTCCAGGAAGCGCCCAACGCCAGTCAACCTTGCCAGTGCAATAAAGAGAGGCAATAGTGCGATTTCCCAGAGACCCTTCAAAGATAGGGTTGTGCACTTACTGGCACTAAAGCCTTATAAGAAACCTGAACTTATTCTCAGATTGCAGAAGGATGGACTTTCTCAGCAGGACAAGGATTTGCTGGATAACCTTCTGCAACAGGTTTGTACTCTGATGAAAGGCAACGATTTAGGTAAAGGGAAAAAAAAAAAAAAAAAAAGTGTCTTCTCAGCCCCCTACCCCCTTTCCCGTGGCAGTGGAACCTGTTATCTCCAGGCTGCAGCTGAATGTGACTCTAAAGGCTGTGGGGGACACATTTCTCAGCTCCCAGTGCTGGTGCAGAGATAGCAGGAGCCTCCCGTGGCTACGCCTCAGGTTAGGGAGGTGCAACCAAGCTGGATGGTTTTGGCTCACCAGATCAGTCCCTTTTAGAGGGACACTTCTGCTTGGTCATGGGGAGGATTCTCTTAACAGAGGATCTGCAAATCATTCGATTATAACCTCCTAAATCTTTTATTTTATTCTCATGGACGCGAAGGAGCAACGCTCTGTATTGGTACAAGTTTTGTATATGAAGGAAAAGATATCCCCAGGTTTTTTTTTGTACTCTCAGAGCCTCTCCTGTTTGGAAGTGCCACTGGTCAGGTGTGAAGATCATGCAGCTCCTTGCCAAGCACATTATTTGTGTGTCTCCAAGCTGAATCAGTTCCTAGCACTTTGAGTCACATTAAAGGTGCCATTTTAGGCCTCGCAGTAAACACCTTCATTGCTTTATTAAACACATCATGGCTATTTATTTAAATGCTGCAGCTGCCTTCTTCTGGATTGGAATATATTCTGGAAAAAACTCCTTTTTTTTTTTTCTTTTTTTCTTTTCTATTCCTTTCCATAAAGAGTGAGACAGGAGTTCACTTTGCCCAAGGGCACAGGGCAGGTCGTATTAAAAACAAAGTCACAGCTGGCACAACTCGTTCCTCCCTTAGATTTTTAATCCCAGAACCCTTAATTTCCCAGCAGCTTTCCAGAGCACTTTTTCAATTCTAGCACTGAGTTTCAGAGTAGAAAACTCTTGTTTCTGGTGATGGCTTTTGATGGATGCTGTGCCCCCGAGCCCTGGCAGGCGAGCAGTGCTGGCCACGGGGCCACCCTGCCCGGGGCTCAGTGCTGATTTGGCTGTAAACGTGTGGTGCTCGTAGAGTTTAATCCCTCTCAGCCCTCCCAGGGCTCCCATGCACAGGCAGACACAGATAAGCTAAAAATTACAGGCTGTGTTAAAGCTACACAGCTAAATCTGTCTAGGTGTGGGTTTCATTGTGCTCTTGCATCTCTCGCAGGACTCCGTGTTCCTGGCGGCCTTTTTGCCTCATTTTGCAAGGTTTCTATTTTTGGGAGGTTTGGGGTGGAGCTTGCAGAGTCCCACACGAGCAAAACAAGGAGGTAGCAGCTCTCAGCCTCTGTGCAGAGAAAAATCCCAAGTTGTTCTTCCTGGGCTCCAGGAGCAGGCAGGAAACAGAGAAATTCTGGGAGAGTTTGGTTTTGGGTTTTTTTTTTTTTTTTTGGTAAAGGAGAACCTGGGTTTGCTTTTGTCTCCTGGGTGTGTTTACAGGGATACCTCGATGTAAAACACAGCTCAAATTCTTGTTGTATTTTGGCTCAGGATTTTGGAAAGCTGACAGGACTGAAAGGAAAAACAAAGTGTTTGTCATGTAAACTGATAACTGGGCTTTCTATTTTTGCTTATCAGGAGAGTTTGCCATGTTGGTTGTGCAGCCTTTTGCTCTGACATTCCTAGATTTTTAATATTTTTAATATTAGTTTGTAGCCTCCCTAAAGCAGAAGCAGAGGAATCAGCAGCATCTTCAGTTCATTCAAGACTTTGCACTCCTTCACTTGTTTTTGAGGCATTTTCCTGCTGTGTGGATAATAGAAATCCCTGAGCACAGCCACGTCCTGAATGGAGAACAGTAATCCCTAAACAGATGCACAAGATCTCCATGCACTGAATAAAAGCATTTTTCCACTTTCAAGGGTAGCAGTCCCCGAGCTGAGGGGCTCCAGCAGGGAATTTGGGCTGCAGCTGCTGGCTCTGCCTGGCTGTGGGCAGAGCATGTGGCACCTGGGCCTCCTCATCCCTCTTCAAAAACACATGGAAGGCTTTCTTTTCATTTCAAACTTGCAGTGCTCTGCAAGCTGAGGTTGCCCAGAGAAGCTGCCCCATCCCTGGGAGTGTCCAAGGCCAGGCTGGAGCAATCTGGGATAATGGAAGGTGTCCCTTCTTTTGGAATTTGGTGGAACCAAACCATTCCAGGACACTCTGGAGCACCCAAGAGAGGTTCATTCTCTCTGAAAGCCTCACTGGGTTTTTTTTTTTGCTTTGTGCCAGCTCTGGGTTTTCATGGGTGTACCAACAGCAAGAAGTTAAATTCTCAGTAAGGCTGTGGAAAGATTGATCCGAGTGGGATAACTCTTTCCCAAGTTGTTTCCATTCTAATCCAGCTGTGCCCATTCCAGCAGCATTTCCTCTCCATGCAGGCACCACGCAGGGTTTTGTGTGGGGAAACTCCACGGGGTAGGGTTGGATAAAATGTCAGGCAGCTGCTGGTGCAAGTGTGCTGAGCTCCCTGCAGTGCCCTGCTGCCTTAAAGCTGCAAATCCCAGGCTCTGTTCTCTGCCCTGGAGAAGTTCTCCATAAAATCCAGGTGATCCCAGGGCATTCTGCTCTCAGCTCTCTGTGGCCTGTTCTCTTGGCTCGTTGGGGAGAAGTTATCTCCTGGCAATTGTTAACCAAGTTATCGCTCTGAGAGTTCCTCTTTGGCCACAAACTGCCCCATTTTGGCTACGGGACAGGTGTGATAAGTGAACTGCCTGTTCCCATTAAGGTTTTATTTCCAGGTGTTTCCATCGAGTGCTGGTGTGCTGGTCCAGGCTCCCCAAGCTGAATAATCTCTTTTAGATATGATTTATTTCCCACTCAACTGGCTGTGCTTTAGAAGCTCATTATGAATTATTGCAGTGACAAGGCGAAAGGAAAGGCACAGTTTGATTAAATAATCTTAATAATAAGGAAATGAAATATTAAAGTCTCTCCTTGTTCTCTGACACTACTAACAACTGCTAAGTCTGCTCAGATTTTGCCTTCATCTTAGCTCTTGTTTGGTGGAGGAAGTGGGAAAATGAAACCCTAACGATGTTTTCCCAAATTCCTTCTGTTGCAGGTGGCAAATCTGAGTGCCAAGGACAGCACTTTCACACTGAAAGATTGTGTATACAAAGAAGTGCAGAAGGACTGGCCTGGCTACTCAGAAGGAGATCAGCAGTTGTTGAAGAGGATCCTCGTTAGGTAATTATCCATTTTCTTCTCTCTGATGGCATCCAGGGAGGGAATCCTGGGCCAGGGAAGGTTCAGGAAATTTGGAGGTGTGTAAGCTGAGTGTGTGACTTATTTTGACATAATTTTAAACTGCCCATCACCCAGGGATCTGTAGGAGTGGACTGAACTTTGAACATCCGAGTGGATCCACTCTTCACATCATCCTGGGCTGTCTTTAAATCATCAAAGGCAAAGCTTGGGGAAACCTGGCTGGGAGCAGAGCTGCTAGAATTAATACTGCTGGTCCAAAATCCTGGGAGATGAGTGGATTAAATGTTTCCAGCTCAGCTCTCTTTTGAAACTCTCCTTCCTTTTTTTCCACATCTTCCTGTTTCATCCCTAAATCTGAGATTTGATTCAAATCGTGGATGTGTGGAAAAGCAAGAGGTTGTTCTGTAGGGATAAATCCTTTCAAACTCCTGCCTTTGGAGTGTGATCTCTGTTCCCATGTTCCCTCCTGGAACAGCCCTTAACACACTCAGTTCATCCTTATTGCTGAAATCTTTTCCCTCTAGAGATATTTTCCTTAGGAAAAGCTTGGAAGCTTCTGGCTGGCAGGGAAAGAGACCAAAAATCTCCCAGTTTTCTCCAAATTATGCTCTGAGTGTTGATATTTTTCAGTGCCTTGGTACAGATTTTGTCATGCAGGCAGAGCTTTTACTTGTGCTTTATTTTATTGCATTTTTGGTTAAGCTGAAGCACAGCGTGCTCTGTTTGAGCACTTCCCATGATTTAAAAGCACAATTGACTTGGAGATGAGACTTTTTTAAACCAACAGCAAACTTGCACTCCAAGTGCTTTGGAGTGCTCAAGGAAAATCAAAACTCATTTAAATGGCCTTGATGTGAAATTGTAATTAAAAGGAAAAATACAACTGCCATGCAATCTTTATGGCTTTCAAAAAAAAAAAAAAAAGAAAAAGAGAAAAAAAAGCCCAAAGTGAATTTCTCCCTGTAGAAAAGCCATGTTTACTGCTTTTTTCTAGAATTGTGGCATTCACTTGGGCGAGGGTCTAAAAATAGACCTTGGAAAGGATGTATTCAACTGTACAAACAAAGCCCTGCTCAGGCAGTGCAGGTAATGAGGCTCCAAAATGGAAAAAAAACATGTTGGGTTGAAGACAGGAGAAAAACAGGCCCAGAAAAAGGGCACAGGAGGCAGCAGACGTCGGGGTTTGCATCACCAACCAATTGTTGCAGCATTTCAGGGCCAGTGGCCACTCAGTGCCTCAGCAGCTGCAGTAATGAACACATCTGCAGATATTAAAGCTGGGTCTAACTAGGCTTGGGTTAAACCAGCTCGGTTTTTTCCTCCTTTTTAATGTTTTCCATGCCTCTGGTCACTGCTGGGGGACCTGGAGCAGCCTGGACTGTGAAGATGTCCCAGCCTGTAAATGAGATTTAAGGTCCTTCCAACCCAAACCATTCCAGGATTCTGCTGAACTCAGTGCTTTGAAACTCCTTCAGTGCATAACAATTAATAATTAACAATTAGAAGATGTGGCAGGCTTGCTCAGGCTGATCACCCCCCAAAAGAAGCCACTTCCACTGGGGTGCTTGGGCCATAGCAGTGTCCCCATTTTCACAACCCCCAGCTCCTTTTCTGGACTTGATCTGCCACTGCTGAGGTTGTTTTAAATAAAATGAAACAAAGCCAGCACGGTGGTGACACTGCAGATGTCTAAATATTGCTGCAACACAGCCCAAGGTTCAAGCTCAGGTTAAAAGCCAAATCTTGTCAAGTCCTGGGCGTTATCTCTGAGATAAATCTTCCCAATGTTTAAAGGATATGAGGGAGCTTTAATGCTGATTCCAGTTTCTTGTGAGAGAATTTAAAAGTGGGTTATTAAGCCTCCACAGCTCCTGACAAACTGACTGCAGAGCTGCTTTATTAAAACCTTTAACCCTGAATTCTATTTTTTTTTTTTTCAGTTTGTCAGCTGCAACTTGATGTAAGAGTAGTTGGTTGTTGGTTTTTTTTTTTTTTTCTGGGTGATTAATTGAGGGGCAGTCTGGTGTCAGAATTGTTGGGCAAAGTTGGTGGGCTGGGAAAATACTCAGAGATCTGGAGAGGAGCAGAGACCCAGCCTGGAGGGGAATTTATGCACTCAAGTGATTCTAATTGTCCTTTTTGTTGCCACAAAAGGGTTTCTTTATTTGTCCAGTACCACAAATACAGCCCAGAGTAGCTCTGTTTTGCATGATGCAACTTAAAAGTATTATTGGGAAGCCCAAAATGTAAATCCTGGAGGACCAATAATACCTCAGCAGTTCCTGTTATAATGCTGCTTTTCCTGGACCCAGAGGAGCTCGCTGCTGAAAGGGCTCCTGTTGCCATAAAATGTTGTTTTAATGATGCTAATGAGTGGGAGAACTTATTCCTCAACATCTGAGCTTGAGTTTCAGCCCCTCTTCAGTGAGCTTTGCTTTCTGAGTTGTCTCAGAAAGCAAAAACTCAGCAGAAATTTGTTTAATTAATGTCTCCCTGAGCTGTGTTTCAATCAGCAGGAATAGTATCTGATATCCTTTACACCTTAAAATTCAATGCCACTTTTACTGATCCCCGTGTGAATTATGTTTCTGAGGCTGGAATTGATTTGTTTTAATTCTTACGTCACCAGTTCAAGAGAAAAAAAAGGTGAAATTGTTGAAAAAGGAGTTCCAACCTCAACAGGGGGAATCTTTTCATGTGTCCAAGGGCTCAGCCTCGGCCCTGTTGATCCAAGGTGTTCCTTCCATTGCCAAAGAGCCACAAAAACCACGGGAAAGCAAGAAAAGAGATGAGGAATTCCAAATTGTCATTGATATTTTCCCGCAGCACTTTCTCCTTCCCAGATTTTCTCAGACACCAGAGCCTGAACGAGCTCCTTTTATGGCACCTTCCAGGAGAGTGTGAGCCCGAGAAAAGCTGCAGGTGTGCAGTGCCACCTGTCCCCCTGGCACGGGGTGTGACCACAGCCCGTTTTTTGTGTTTTTTGTGTTTTTTGCAGGAAGCTGTGCCAGCCCCAGAACAGCGGCGCTTTCCAGGGAGAAGCTCCTTCCCTGAGCCCTCCAAAGGACACCCTCAACTCCAGCTCTCCCCCTCAGGTGGGTGATTCCCCCCCTGCCCAGCCCCTGGATCCCCCGTGCTGCCGGTGGATTTGGCTGTGCCTGTCTGCACCCTGTAATCGCCTGCTGCCGGGTCAGGAGGTCTTTGGGGTTTTTATTTCTGTTTTATTAAGTTGGAGTCTCATTCTGGCTTTGTTCAGCATCTGTTTCTCCTCTCTCTCAGCGAGGGCCTGTGGGGAGGATCTCTGACAACGAGGCTCAGGTTTAGTTTTAAGGGCTAAATTCCTTTTGCAGTGCCTCCATCCCTCCTGGAGTTCCTGGGAGAACGAGCTTGTGTTTTCCTCATTACTAATAATTGAGTGGAACGAAGCTGTAATAAGCAGCTCCCAAACATGGTTGAGTTATTAAAACCCTTGACCTTTTGCAGCCTAATTGCCATGACAGATCAGGGGCAGGTTGGGCTGCTCCTGCCTCAGAGATGCCAGAGCAGGGAACTGTGAAAAGAACATTTTGCCTGCTTTTTCCGTGACCATAAACCACACACAGGAGCCGCGTTTGACGCGTGTCAAGCAGAGCCTTGTCCCCAGTTCTCCCAGTATCTCCCAGCACAGGCGTTGCTGGCGTTGTGAAATGTGCTGCCTTCCCTTCTTCCAGTGTGGGTCAGCCCAGACAAGTTGAGTATTTATTCTTCTCCTGCCAATGGAATGTGTAATGCCTGCTTGTCTGGACAGACGCACCGAGGATTAGTGGCAAAGAATATTAACAGGTAAAAGAAATTATGTGCTCCCTGGCACTGAGAGGGAGGCAATTCTCTGGTTGAGAACAAGGACTGTGTAACTCGTTTGCCAGGTAGCTGATTCCAAATCCTCTCCTGCTCTGCTGTGGGCATGTTCCTGCTGAATGAAGAATGATCGCCTTCAAGTTAGCTCGCAAAGATCCTGGTCTTGTGTCTATTTTTAAGGTTGAAAAATTATCTTGTTTCTCTGGCTGTCCATGTTTTAAAGACTCAGAGGTCTTTAGGGTGAGGTTTTGATCACTCAGAACGACCCAGCTGAAACTTTGGGTGGTTAGGTTGGATTTAGGAAAGGCTGGTGAAGCAGGGACAATCCAATGTGGAATAGAAACGTTTCCAGCGTGATTCTCTCGTGTCAGACAGCAAACCACAGCGTTGTGAGCTGTCACTTTTTTAATACTCTCTGGCTGTAGTTTCTATTTAGAGAAATGGTTTTTAATGGGTGCAGTGCCAGCAGAGGATTGGGATTTGGTAGGCTGGTATGCAGAATATTTTGGGAAAGTTCAGCCGTGGAATGAAGGTGAAGAAGATCGGTCTGGTAATTCTAGAAAATGGATGTGTATAACTCTCCTAACCAGGGAGATGAGTTTGGAGAAGCTGATATTTGTTGCTTTTAGAGAAAAGGTTGTAAAATCAGGCAGATTTTTAGCTCTGTCAGCTGTTCAGAGCCCTGCAGACAGAGGTGGCCCCTCCTTGGGGAGATGGACACTGGGAGCTCTGCGAGGTGATGTTGCCAAGCCGGTCGGACGTGCTGTCCTTGCCCCTTGAGCTCAGTGGCAGAACCAGCAGCTCTTCCTTAATTACCTTGACAGGTGGAAAGAATTCCTGGCACTGAGCAGTGTCCTCAAGACCCCTGAGTTAGCAAAGAGAGAGAGAAAATCCAGGGGGGGGGAAAAAAAAAAAAAAAAAAAAAGAGGGAATTAGGGGCTGCTTCAGCCACCATCCAGCTGCATTTCAGCGATGGAACAACATTTCCATTCGCAAACACGTCGAGATCCTGCCTGAGACAGAAAGAAAATAATGGATTATCCAAAAGAAATAGCCAGAGCTATCGCTTGTTTTCCTCTGGGCACCAAATCATCTTTGGCTCAGAGCTGTTGCAGCCCCGGAGCTGCCAGGTGGGCACACACTGAGGTGGTTTTGGCTGGCACGGGCTGGGCTGAGCCTGATGGATGAGTTCTTCCATGGAGCAGCTTTTCCAGGCTGGAGGCAGCTGCCTCCAAGGTCTGGGCACAGCTGGGAGCCACTTCCTTCTCCAGCCTTGCTCAAAAAGGGGTTGCTCAGGTCATGTTGGCCCCTGTGACGTGGATTTTTTAAATGTCCCCTTTTGCCTGAAATTCTGAGAACTGAGCAGTTGGTGCTTCCTTCCCCTCTTCAGGGCAATGCCTCGTTCTTGAGAAGAGGAAGGAACAGGGAAGGGGTGAAGTTTTTTGGCCATAGAGCTGGGAATAAAATGCAGAACTGGTGAATCCCTCCCTGTTCCAGAGGGCTGAGGGCATTTTTCCTTCACGGGGACTTTGGACCAATGTTCTTACCACAGAATGGTTTGGGTTGGGAGGGACCTTAGAGCTCATCCAGTTCCATCCCTGCCATGGGCAGGACACCTTCCACTGTCCCGGGTTATTCCAAGCCCTCTCCAGCCTGGCCTTTGTCACTTCCAGGGATATTTCTCTTCATTGGCTGGGGCAGGGGGAAGCTGCAGGGTTTGAGTTCCAAAGGGCTGGGTTTGAAATAAGCTGCAGTGAGAGCAGGCTGGGGGTGGCATGGGCTGTGTGTGGGCCATAGGGGAATCAGGAATTGCTGATGGGATTCTTTCAGCTGTCCCAGCAAACTGTGGGCTCTGGGAAGCAGCTTGGGATGGATAAGCTGCTTTTCCCGGGAATATTTATCCCTTCTGCCCTGTATTGCACCACCACCTAGTGGCAACATCCAGCTCCACTTCTACACCTTCAACGCGATTTATTTCTCCTTTTTTTTTTTCTTTTTTTTCTTTTTTTTTCCTTCCCCCCTCCCCTTCCTCCCTAACAGAAACGATCCCAACCTCTGGAGTTCATCGACCCTTTGGCCAACAAAAAGCCCAGGATCTCACATTTGGCTCACAGGACCCAACCCACTCTCAACGGGAAGCTGAATTCCTCCAACGGGAAGGACACCCTGGCCCCCCCTGCCCTGCCCCAGGCTCTGCCCGAGCCCGTGAGCTCCAGCTCCTCCCTGCCTGCCCTGGAGCTGCCCAGGCCTCACGATCCCCTGTCGGATGTCAGCAATGACCTGACTCACAACGGCAGAGACTGTGAGAACACGGAGCCTCCCGACAGACTGAGTCACCCCCTGCCCACAGACTGTGCCCAGAGCAGCAAACACAACTGCGGCTCCTACGTCAAATCCAAGAAAAAATCCAAAAAGCACAAAGACAAGGAGAAGGAGAGGAAGGAGAAGAAGAGCGAGGAGAAGTGCAAAGAGGAGAAGCAGAACTGTGAAGTAATAAAAAATGCTGACTTAGTTAGTGTTCCCCAGGAGCAGGTCCCAGGTGAGTGGGGGCCCGGAGGTGCTTTGGTGTTGGCTGGCAGCGATGCCAGCATTCCCTGCAGGAATGGGCACATCCTGGGCCGTGCCAGCTGCTCTGGGGACCCAAATGCCAGCACTGTCCTCCCTCCAAATCACCAGAGGTGCTTCCTCTCCACACGGGGTGTCAGGTTTTTCCTGTTTAACCTTTCGTGCTGTTTGGAGCCGCCTCAGAGCGTGTCATGTTTCTCCTGGTTAAATTAAAAGCTGGGATAATCTGTGGGGATGAAAGGCTGGGAGCAGTGGGAAGAGCAGTGCAGCGCTTGTGTTGGCTGTTGTGATGACTGTTGTTTGGGGTTTTTTTTAATGAAAAGTTACTCACAAAAGCTTTTAATACTGGCTACAAAAGAAATGATAGATAAACCTGGTGATAAATGCTGTTAAAGCAATGGAGAACCAGCTCTTCCAGGCTGGAAAAGCTTCCTTGCCTCCCACTGGGGCTGGGGATTTATTTATTCAAGGACTGACACAGCAGGGAATCTCCATTGAGGTGGGATGAAAACATTTTCCATCCAGCCACTCTTTCAAAGTCAGGTCCCTGCACTCTTAGAGCAGAGAATATTTCTTGGCTGGTCCCATCCATTCCCTTTCCTGCTGCTTCCATGTTTTCTGTTGTTGCTTTCAGCTCCCCAGAGCACTGGGACTTTCCCTGCAGCCTCTGGGAATATCTGTTAAATTCCTTCTTGCATTTTCCTTCACCCTGTTACTATTTTCTACATTCCCCTTCCTGCTTGGTGCATGAAAATCCTCCGTTTTTGGCTCCAAAAGGACAATATTTTGGAATGCTGGATTCCTGGGAAGGGGGAGCCTCTCAGGGGGTTGGGATTGAGCTGGTCCCAGCCCTCTCCTTCCCCACAGGCTTTGCAGCAGTGACAAAAAGCGTCTTGGTGGCTCAGCAGTGATTGCTGAGGACAGTGTGTGGGGCTCGTGGATGTGTGGCACTGCAGAACTGAGAACTCTTGGGCTTTTGTGTCAATCCCAGGGTTTTTGGTTTTTTTCCTGTGAATGTTGTGTTTCTCTTCCCCACGTGGTTCTGGAGACACGTTCACACATTCTCTCTGTTTGTCTTATAAATACCCAAACACCCCAAATTCTTGGAAAATTACTGAGCCTCCTCCACCACCTTTGCTGCTTCTCTTTCCTGTTTAATTCCTGGATTTTTGTTCGTTATCAGGAGTTGGTTTTTTTTTTCTCTCTCTGCTGCTGTTTTGAGGTAACAAATCCGAGCTGGGCTGGGAGCAATCACAAACAGGATGTGGTCAGTCCTGCTTGGATCCTGGACAGCCAGAGCTGGGATGTTTTCCTTCTGTGCCTTGCTGTGGGTAGCATCATCCTCATCCTCCTCCTTCCCCCAATTCCCCCTGGAGCTGTAGGGAAGCAGAGAATCACAAAAAGTTTGGGCTGGAAGGACCTTGAAGCTCATCTGGCCGTGGGCAGGGACACCTCCTGCCAGAAGTGGGAATTTCTCCTGGGAATTTTTGTTCCAGAGGCTCTGGAGGGACCTTTGGGGTCCTTTCAGTCAGTAGGTGGCACTCACAGGCAAAAAAAAAAACCAAACCTTTCCTTCCCTTCCACCATCCTTAAACCCTGTTGTGCATCTGTGGTCAGGGAAGGAGGAGAAGCAGGAGGAGCTGCAGCAGGAATTTGGGATTGGGATGTTTTTTAGGAACGCTGGGTTTGTGCCATTCTCCCATCCTGCTCAGGAAAGCTTTTCTGTGGAAATTCAGAGGAAAATCCATCTTTTTAAGGATACACTCAGGGTACTGCTGACTCTGGTGAGGATTTGGAATGTAACACACAGTTTGTGGGAAATAATCCCTTTCCAAAGGTGGATCCAGCTGCTTTCTTCCTCCACATTTATCCTGCAGTGCTTGGTGGATGTGGAGGATGAGTTTGCTTTAGGTTTATCCAGTTCCTCCCTCAATTCCTGAACATCCTTAGCAGAGCCCTCATTAATGCCTGGATTTGTGTTTGGAGCTGCATTCCCTAAAACCCTCTCAGTGGTGCCCTGCAGGACTGTGGGATATTAATTCAGGAATCTCACCCTGGAGTATCCCCAGAGGAATCTCTCAGGTGTAGAAGAAGCAGGAGAGCAGGAGGTTCACCTTGCCCAGCTCAGCTCTCTGGGCTCAGGGCTGTTTTTTCCTCGTTCCCAGTGGTGTTCTCAGTGTCATCCCACTCCAGGCACTGTTTATCCACCAATTAAATTCAGATTTTTTTTTTTTTTTTTTTTTTNGTTCTCAGTGTCATCCCACTCCAGGCACTGTTTATCTTTCCTTTGCAATTAAATTTTTTTTTTTTTTTTTTTTTTGCTCCTCGGTGTGCTGGCTCATGTTGGTGCTGTTTTGCTGACAGACAAATATTGGAGTAGCCTTGAACTTTCAGCCACCTTGTTGTGGCTCCTCTGCCTCTGTCAGTTCCAAGCAAAACAGAAATCCTTTAGAATTCCATAAACTGTATATCTCAGGCAAGTTTTATGAGTTTGAAGCTAAATTGCAAGGAGCTTTGAAGTTTAAGAACGTCTGTAAACAAATCTTTATTTTTTCAGGTTTAAATGGAACATGCAATAATTCTAGTGTACCAACATCAACTTCAGAAATGCCAGATTATTTATTGTAAGTATGTTTATCAGTTGCTTCATCACTTTGGGATCATGTTTCAAGCTAAAAAAAAAAAAAAATCACAACGTGCTGGGGATTTTTGTTGGACTTTTTGTGTTATTTGATAGAACTTGGTTAGGTGGGTGTAAGAAAAAGAGTAAACCCAGCTCTGCACATTAATAGTTGAGACTAAACTTGATATCAAAGCTGGTTTTTACCTCCTTAAGGAATTCAAGGGTTATCTCCTAGAAATTGTTTTAAGTAACTTCAAGGAACATTTCATACCTTAGAGAGGGGCTTGGAAGGATTAAACATCTCCACGTTCCAGCTGGGAACTCTGAGAGGGAATAATCTGCTTTCGTGTTGGGAAAGGCAGGGCAAGGAAGGATTTGGGGTGGTTTGCTAATTCTTGCCCTCTGCAGAGCCAAAATCATCTCCATAAAGCAGTGAAATACTCTTTCCTGGGAGGCTCTAACCCCTGGGTTAGGATCTGAGTTGTTTAACCTCCTGACTCTTTAATCAGATCCCCTCGAGGTTAATTAAACAAACCCAAAAATCCCTGTGAAGGGAGCCCAGAATCTGCATAAACCCAAACCTGTTCTAAACAAAGCTTTGGGGTGGGGAAAAAGTTGTAGCTGAGAGGGGGGGGGAAAAAAATTCCCTGTGCATGTCCCAGCCCTGGGGGTTGTTTCTGTCAGAGCTGGTTTGGCTGTGCTGGGATTGCTGGGATGGAGGAGGAGGAGGAGGAGGAGGAGGAAGCTCTAGGGCAGATAAAGGTTTCTGCTGTGCTTTCTGCTTTGCTGGGCTGCATCAGCCATACAAACAACCCCTTCAAGGTGACATTTTTAGGGCTATTCCAAAGAATTTGGGTGGCTGGGGATGGTTTTTCTGTCACCCACGTGCTGGTCTCTCCCAAAAAGGGACATTGCAGCTCCTTGTGTGATCTGATTTGTGCCCAGCTCCTCAAATTCTGTCACTGCTCTTTGATCCTTCTTTATCCTGTGTGGATGGATCTTCATCCCAGCCCCTGGCAAGGACTCACTTCTTAAAGTTTAGAGCACTTTAAAAGTTTCAAGCACTGAAAGTTCCCTCTTAATTTGAGGCCTAAATCAACTTTTCCATGTTCATGCACCAAGCTGGCCCTGCTGCAGGGAGGCAAATTTAGAGCCATCACCTACCAAAAGATGAGTTTTACCTTCAGAGAGGGCTGTAAATGTCAGCTTTAATGGCTTTTTGCTGAGCAGAATAATTTCCAAAAGGCTCCCAAAGGCACATCAGTTCAACCTGAGCTCAGGACACGTCGAGTATCTCCAGAAGGTGCTGGAAATAGACTTGCTGGTGGTTTAAAAAAAAAGAAAAAAAAGCCAGAATAAAGCTCCTCACCGTGGTTTCTTGTCGTGCTCTTGCCACATAATCACCCTGCGAGCGTTTTGCAACGATGGCTCAATGCTTTTTGTGTTCCTTTAAAGACTCTTAACACTGGAAGCATCGTATTCCTGCTGTTCCAATGCCTGGCACAGATGCAGAACTCCATGTTCTGCGGGCCAGCAGGAGTCACAGAAGCTGTAGCAGCCCTATCTGAGTGTCCTCCTCCACCCCCAGCTGCTCCAGCCTTGGCTGTACCTGCCCATTCCAACCTATCTGGCAGAGATAGAAGTTTTGGGAGCAAACATTGTTTGTTTTGCAGGAGGTCAAGGCAACAATTCCCAGTGGTTGCCTCCATAATTTGCTACTTTAATGCAAGTCAGGATGAGAGGGAACGGCCTCAAGCTGCACCAGGGGAGGCTTGGATGGGATATCAGGGAGAATTTCCTCACTGGGACAGGGAATCACCATCCCTGGAGGGATTTGAGCCATGTGGATGTGGCACTTGGGGACGTGGTTTAGTGGTGGCCTTGGCAGTGCTGGGATTGGATCTTGGAGGGCTTTTCCAGCTTCAATCCCAGAATGGTTTGGGCTGGAATGAGCTAAAGCCCATCCAGTCCCACCCTTGCCACAGGCAGGGACTCCTTCCACCATCCCAGGCTGCTCCAAACACTTCCAGAGGTGAGACAACCACAGCTTCTCTGGGAATTCCTCCCCAATATCCCATTTAGACCATCCTAAATTATCCATGATTTCATTTCCAGTCACTTGGCAATCTCCATCCCCCCCCCGTGCTCAGCACCACCACATCCCAGAGAGAATCTCTCCCCAAAACCAATTCCCCCGTTAAAAATCCATTCACCAAACCCTACTTTTTTTTTATTTTTTTTTATTTTTTTTTTGTTTCCCCTGCAGAAAATACGCAGCCATTTCCTCCTCGGAGCAGCGTCAGAGCTACAAAAACGATTTCAACGCGGAGTACAACGAGTACAGGGACCTGCACGCCCGGATAGAGAGGATAACCCGACGGTTCACCCAGCTGGATGCCAAGCTGAAACAACTTCTGCAGGGCTCTGAGGAATACAAGGTAGAAAGAGAGCTAAAAACACCCTCCCCCCACCAAAAAAAAAAAAAAAAAAATTTAAAACAAACAAACAAAAAAAAGCTCCCTGTGCACGTGGCAGAGCTGCAGGTCTTTGATCTTGCTCTGTTTGGGCTGGGTCGGTGTCGAAATTCCAGCCTCAGAACTGGTGGGGAACGTGCACACAGCTGACAGCTTTGGGGAATGCTCCTAACCCAGCTCTGTGCTGCTCCTTTTTCAGGCTGGAGCCACATCAGGGGACTTGTTGACAAGGAAAGGCCTCAGTGAGACAATTGGTGTCCTTAGCCAAAAGCTGCTGGAAGCTATTAGTGTATCCCAGCCAGAAAAACTCATATTTGCACATATGGGAGCGTATCAGGGCTGGAAGGGGAGTTAGCACGGGGTCATCTGTTCCTCTGCAATCTTTGATCTTAATAATGCAGCATTATTGGACTTGTCAGAGTGATTTTTAAAGAGTTTTAGCTATTCATTAGCTTGAAAAAGTGAGTCTCGTTGAGGATAATAAACAGATTTTTACAGAGCACCTATTGTGCTAAGCACAGCTTCTTCCCTCAAACCTCCTGCCCTTCTCCTTGCAAAATTCCTCACTGGATTGTTTTTAGATCTTGGTGGAGGGGGGAAAAAAAAAAAAAAAGATCAGTTGGAGCTTTGGAAATGTGAATTATCCTGGAATCCAGGTGCTTGTCACAGGTAGTTCTCATGGCTGGGGAGTGGGGCCTCATCCCTGTGTCAGCTCCAGGATATCCATGGAATCAGAGCTGGTTGTGGCCACTGGATCTGCCCAGGGAAGCCACGGAGGGAGCAGATTTTGGCTGCAATTTGGAGGAATTGTGTACATTGAGCCATCAATGAATACCTACTGCAGAACTGAAAATAATACCCTATATTTTTTTTTTTTTTCTCTTTGTTTTCAGACCATCCACGATCAAATTTTACAGGAATATCGGAAAATTAAAAAGGTGAGGGAACGTCCTTGGCCACAGAAGGCTTTTGGGTGGTGCCCCTGGTGTGACTGAAAGAGATGGGCCCTTGCCAAGAGCTAAACCCAGGCTCTGAGGCAATTCCAGCAGATCTTTGTTCAGCTCCAGCCCTTCCCTCCAAGCAGATCAGAAAGGGTTTGGGGGGAGCTGGGAGTGCCCCGTGGATGCTGGGGATCACTGAGCCGTGGCACAATGGCTGTGCTCACCCAGGGCCTTTATCTCCCCGTGGAAGGAACAGTTTGTGTTCCAGATGCACAGGCTGAGGGATAACAGGATCCTCTGGGGGCTGCTGGGACACGGGATCCGAGCTGCCTTCGGCCTCTGGAGCTCTGTCCCCACATTTTTTGGAGTTTGGGCCACAGAAAATACCTTGAATTTCAGTAATTTTAATGCAAAGCATTCACACACCAGTGGGAATTTGGAGGGTTTTTTTTTCCCTTTAAATAAGTGAATAGGGTCCTGAGGCCTGTTGTCCTGAGGGATTTAGGAGCTCTTTGAAGAGATTCCCTGCATGTTGGGAGTTCATCTTTGTTCCAGAGGCTCCGAGGTGGGGGCAGAGGGCAGGTGGTGATTGTTGGAAGCCCAGTTAGGCTGAGCCTAACTCAGGTGTGCCCCTTCCTTGTGAGGAGGCTCCTGGAGCTGGATAATGCTGGAAAGGGATTTTATTCATGGCTGGATTTGATCAGAGCAGGGCTGTTTTAAAGGGGGATCTAAAAAAAGCTTCTTTCCATGGTTTTAAGCTGAAAGAGGGGAGGTTTAGGTGAGATATTGGGAGGAAATTCTTCCTGGGGAGGGAATGGGATAGAACTCCCAGAGAAGCTGTGGCTGCCCCATCCCTGGAAGTGTCCAAGGCCAGGTTGGAGAAGAGAAGCTCTGGGAACACCTTAAAGCTCCTTCCAGAGCCTGGAGGGGCTCCAGGAGAGCTCAGAGGGATTTGGGACAAGGACACAGGGAATGGCTCCCCTCTGCCAGAGGGCAGGGCTGGATGGGACATTGGGAGGAATTCCTGCCTGTGAGGGTGGGGAGGGGTTGGGATGGAATTCCCAGAGCTGCTCCTGGATCCCTGGAAGTGTTGGATGGGGCTTGGAGCACCCTGGGACAGTGGAAGGTGTCCCTGCCCCTGGGATGAGAGGATCTTTGCATTCCCTCCAACCCAAACCGTGGGATTGATTCCATGATCTGCTCTGTGCTGCCAATGCTCAGCTTTGATTTCTCCAGAACCTTTCCCACCTCTGTGATTTTCCTTTTTTTTTTTTTTTGTTTTGTTTTGCAGACAAACCCCAATTACAGCCAAGAGAAGAATCGCTGCGAATACCTCCACAACAAACTGGCCCACATCAAAAAACTGATAGCAGAGTATGACCAGCAGCAGTTTTAGCTGCCACTCACCCCTGGACTGGGTAGGGCAAACCAAAATCCAGTCACCCTGGACGTTACGTTCCCTTTTATACACCCAAACTCCCTTTCAGAGACGAGCATTAATTCCTCGTGGTTGAAGAACTTGGGGATGACTTTTAAGATGCCACATCTGTCATGTCCACGTCCAGCACGCTCCTCCCGAGTTTTTTAAGCCTCTCTGAATGTTGGAATGTAACAAATGGATAACAAAAACAAACAGACAAACAAAACAAAAAAAAAAAAAAGCAAACAGACAAAAAAAAAATTCTGCTTATTTGAAGCCAGCGTTTGACACTTAAGAAAAAAAACTTGCCTAAAGTGACCGAAGCTCCCAAAGGTTAAGAATCTGTAGTTTTCATGGATTAAAAGTTTGGCATGAAGTTGTAATTTTCCCCCTTACACCCCGGCCCAGCTCCACGTGGGTTACCAATTGTGCTCCAAATGGTGAGGAACTGGAATTGCTGCTAGGACTGTTTGCAATGAGAGCTGTGTGCTCCCGGCTCCGCGGAAATACACCACGTTCCCTGAGCTCTCCTTGTCTGGCCCTGCTTTGTCATTGTCATCTCTTTGAGGGGAGGGGGTGGGGGGACAATGGTGGTGGTGGCAGCACAGGGAGGGTCCCCCCCGGGCTCAGCACCTTGGCCAGGGCAGAGGTGGATCCCCTCCATTTAAAAAAAAAAAAAATCAAAGCCCAAATCTCCTTTTTTTTTTTATTTTTATTTTTTTTTTCATCTGCTTTGTGCAAACCTCCTGCTCAGTCTTGCCCAGTTCACCTCCAGCTACCAGTGCTGGGAAGATGGAGACCTGTCTGGCTTTGACTTTTCTAATTTTCTACCAAGGCAGCCAATTTTATTAATTGCTAATGAGACTATGGTCTATTTTTGTATCAAAAAAAAGAAAAAAAAAAAAAGATGGAAAAGCATCTTTTTTTCTAAAACTGTGCCTCCCTTTTCCTTTTAGGCCAAGTGCTTGGGACCTTTTCCTTGCAGTATTACTAAAACTTATCCAGGAGTCACCCAGAGGAGAGACTTTATTCCTTGATCCATGAGAGGAGGGGGTGGGGGGTGCTCTGCTTTCTCCTGGGATTTTATTTTTTTTTTTTTTTTTGTGTGTGTGTGTGAGTCTTTGCAAGGCAGCAGCAAATCCTTGTGAGAGCAGTAAGGTGCTGTTTTCCCACGCAGATCCCTTCCACTGGTGTGCTTTATCTCAGCCAGCTTCTCCCTGCAGTCCTGCTTCCTGATTTTTTTTTTTTTATTTATTTATTTTTTTTTTTAAATTCTTTACTTTGGATTGAAGGGAACGTTTTAGAGTATGGCCAGGGTGTGAGAAACACTCCAAAAAGCACAAAGGTGTCCTTTAACTCTGCTGTTCCTTTCTTTCTCTCTCCTCTCACCCTTTTTAATCCTGCCAGCCTGTGGGATTTGACTTCTTCCCACTTCCGTTTATCTCAAAGTAAAGATTCCTTCCCTGTGGAGTCTCCTTCCCTTGGAGGTTGCACTGAAGAGCCTTTCACCCTTTGAAGGAGAGGAATGGCAGAGTTAAGGAGGGAAACACTTCTTACAACAAGGAGTTTTTGGTTGGTTTTGGTTTTTTTTTTTTTCCCCCCCCGCCCCAAACAAAACGTGGGTCCATCTGCTGTATTAAAAGTAGGAGATAAAATTATTAATAGTAATAATAATAATTATTATTATATTAATTTCATTGTTGTCACACAGCCAGGGCCACTGCTTTTTGCTTTGTCACTTTATTCTGAGGTCTCTCCCTGTGCATCCAGCGCTCAGCAGGAGCTCTGCCATCCCCTTCTCCCAGGGAAAGGCGACAGCCAGGGGGACACGGTGGCCCCTGGAATGCCACTGGAACGCCACCAGAATTCCACTGGTCTGCGGAGAAGGAGGGTGGCGAGAGCTGCTGTGGCCGAGGAGCGCAGGGGGAGCACCCCAGAACCCCCCCCGGGAATGCCGGGGCTCAGGAATGCTCTGTGCTCCCATCCCTTCCTCCCCAAAGCACACCTGGAGCTCGGGGAGCGCCGGGGGCAGCGCCACCTGCCTCTGGTGCTGCTGGAAAATGCTGGGGCTTGTGGAGCCCGAGGAGTTTTTGTCGGGGAAACTTTTGTGCTCCTGCTCCCTGCGGGCTTTGCCGGGAATCCCAGCCGGGAATTCTGGCGGGCGGGGTGGGAGCCTGGGGATCGGGGAGGGGACGAGGAGGACCTGGGATGTCACAAATCCTCAGCCCCTGCTCCGGGATTGTCGCTGGCACTGGTCCTGCCCAGCGCCGGGTTGGGTTTTTTTGGGGTTGTTTTTTTTTTTTGGGGTGGAAAAAGTGAAATTTCCCCAGTGCTGGGGGTTGGTGGGGGCTTCGTTCCGACTGCGGAGGAGGCAGAACTCGGGATGGCAGAAGAGGCAGCAGCTACAAACCCAGGATGAGTAAATTCTTCCATGGAAACACTTCTCCTGAATCCTTAATATTTTGAAAGGAGGGTTGTTTTTTTTTTTGTTTTTTTTTTGTTGTTGTTGTTGTTGCTTGGGGAGGGGGGGATAGAGATGGATCTCAATCTTTATACATCTGCTATAAGATATTTTTGCAAACAGAGTTGTATACAAAGATGTATTGTGTACATTTACATGTATATTCTGGAACTTCTAAAAAATTTGAATATAAAAAAATCCCCTGAAAATATTTAATGAAATATCCAAACTGTGAGACCCAATTAGCATCCACCAACTTCCTGCTTCACTTTTCTTTTGGACTGTGTTAAAGAATTGTAGTCGAATCTGCCTTTTTTTTTTTTTTTTTTTTTTTTTTTTTTTCTTTCTAGAGACGACGAAGCTTAGGCAAAATTTTGTGCTTTTTGGGTTAATAGAAACCAGTTCTAGGTGATTTAAGTATGATCTTAACTTATTGATACTGTGTTTTACTTTGTAATATTGTACTGTGGATAAAAACTATATTGAGCCATGGAGTTGGAGTTTACAAAAGAGCTTTTCACTTTGCCAAAATGTTACAATTTCAAGGCAGCATAGTCTTCAGCTTTCCTAATCTTTTTTCTTAAGAGCTAGTGTCCTTTTTTTGTACACTAAAAAAGCTGAATGCTGATTTTGCAACATATAATAAATTCACTGTATTGGAAAACAAGCAGACAATAAGGTTGTGGATTTCTTTTCAGTGCTTCTCCCTGCAAGGAAACTCAAAAGGGAAAGGTGATAAATGGCTGGCGTGGAGCTTGGAAGCAGGAAACGGGAAGGAACCGGGTCACTCGAGTGAGCTAAAGTGTCAGAGCAGGGAGTAGGTAAGAAAGAGGAGAGGGAAGAGGTGCCTGGAGCTGGGGCCAGCTCCTTGGAACGCTGCTCTGGGATCAGCCTCCAGCCCTGGCACGAGCTGGGGGGGCTTCCCACTGCAGCACCCTCGGGGTTTTTGGAGGAAAAGCTGCTTTGGAAGAGGAGCTGGATGCTGCTGTGTCAGCCTGGAGCAGCAGGAGAGGCTCAGGGATGCTCAGAATCCACCCAGGCGCTGCTGCAGGACTGAGGCTCATCCCGGGGGTGCTGCTGGAGCAGGAGGTGGGGATGAGCCTGGCACGGACCCTGCTGGAGCCTCCCCCCTGGCTGAATCATCCCCAAAAAGCTCGGGATGCAAAGGGCACCTGGGCCCCGGCGGGATTTCCCCTTGCCTTGCTGTCACCCTGGATTGCTCTGGCCCTGCCTTCAGCAGCATCCCTGGGGCTGGATGGAGCAGGCAAAACGAAATCCAGGATAAAACTACTCAGGAGTGTAATGGCCTTGGAATAGCTGCCGTGTTCCTGCTGCCTCCCTCCTGGAGCCGAGCGTGGTTGCCACAAACTCCGGGCTGGAGGCCACAGGTGCTGGCACTGCATTCCCTGTGTCCATAACGTGTTCATTTGGGTAAAGTGCTGGATTCGGGGTTGTCCCTCCAAAACAGCAAACTATGGAGAAGATGACAGTAATCCAGGGGTCAAATAACGTTTTACAGAGTCTTGTTTATTTTTTAAAAGATGTCCTTGTCCTTGCAGCTGACACGCCAGCGCCAGCACCTGGAGGAGACACCGGTGAGACCGAGCCACGGAGCAAGAGCTGAACCCAGGCTCTTGCAAATGCCCAAATCCTCCAGTTTTAGTTTCAGCCGTGGCTTCGGAGCCGAGCTCTGCACCCCAGGCCCCCTTCACCCTCTGTGAGCTTCCCCTGGGGCGCTGAGCCGCTCCAGGGCCGGCTCCTGCCCCGCGGGGCCGCTCGCACAGGAAGGGTCCCCATCCCTTCCCAGCTTTCCTGGGGAATTCCTCCCAACCGCTGGCAGCTCCGGCGCTGCCCGGGGTCACGCATTGAGCTCATTAACTCGGAGCTGCCCCAGTGGAAATTTACTGGCTGCGTTTGCTGTGCCAGAGCCAGCCGGGCTCCTGCCGCCGCCGCCTCCTTATCGGCCCCGCCGGGAGCCGGGACCGCCGCACCGGGAGCATCCCCGCGCTCCGTGTCCTCCCGGGCGGCGAAACCGAGCCGGCTGCAGGCTCGGGAGGAGCCGTGAGCTCTGATAATTCGCTGATAACTCAGGTCACGCTTGGGAAAAGTCACTTCGCACCACGTCTTGCACAAACTGCCCCTAATTTGGGGTCACGCAGGCGTGGGAAGGCCCCGGCCAGGTTTTAGGAATGCTGGAAACACGGTGACAGCGCCGTGGTGTTTTTCCTCTGTGGGTATTTTTCCCCTATGGGTTTTTCCCCTGTGGATTTTTCCCCCGTGGGTTTTTTCCCTGGGTACCTTTCGCTGCTCGTGGCTCGTTTACAGGAGGAAGCTCATTAGAATAATTTGTCCTCGCTACGGTCCGATGCTCTGGTCCCTCTCCCAGAGCAGCTGCTGCACCTCCAGCACCGGGCACGACCCCCAAAACCACCCCCTGCTCCCTCCCTTGCAGGCGTGGGTCCGACCTTGGGCACGCAGCGCCGGGAGGGCGATGGCACAGGGAGAGGGAGGAGGATGAGGAGCTGCCAGCAGGGATAATGAAGGGCCAGGGCCTGGGATTGTGTTACACGAGGGGAAAAAACCCAACTGCGGAGGAAGGAAAACGTGGCAAGGGAATGCTGAGGCTGTCGCAAGGCACGAATCTGAGGCTGGCGGGGTCAGCCTCGACTTATTGGTGGGGGGGGACCGAGACAGGACCCCCCAACCCGGCCCTTCCAGCACTCGCAGCATCTCCGGCTGCTGCAGGAGCAGCCCCTGAACCTGCTTAGAATGAAAGCGCTGCGGAGTTCGGGAGCCCCCGGGGGGGCTGCGTGGCCTGGATCCCCATCCCGGGGCTGGAGCGGGGGGTCTGCTGGAAGCGGGGGGTGGCCACCATTGCTAGGGGAGCGCGGCCGGTCGCTATGGCTCCGCTGTGGCTCCGCTGGCCCCTCGCCAGCCCCCGGCAGCTGGGGAGCGAAGGCACTGGGCGGCCGGCCCGGGCTCCCGGCCCATGGACGCGTTGGGCGAGCGGGAACAAGGGAGCCCCGCTCATGCGGTGCCGAGCGTGGGAGGAGTGGGAAGGGAGTGGGGGGAAGGAACAATGGTGGGAGTTATGGGAGGGGGGCGAAAAAAAAAAAGGAAAAAAATAAGGAAAAAAAAAAAAAAAAGGAGGAAAGCAGTGGAAAAATACCAGTTCTGGGCCCCTGGCAGCGCTGCCCGGACCCTCCCCGCCCCAGGATTATTGTACAAAGAAATGTTATTTTTGTTTCAATAATTTGCTGAGGCACTGGCATTCCAGCGCGGGGCTCGTTTTGTCCTCCAGCCCGGCACCAAGGGATCATTGTTCCTCCATGGCCAAGGGGCCGGACGCGGCCCCCCGGCACCGCCGTGCCCTCCACCGCCGCCTCTCCCCGCGGCCGCCCGGCCGCAGGTGCCCTCCGGGCTCGGTCCCGGTGGGTCCCGTCCCGCTGCGTGCCGGAGGGTGGGTGGCGATGGCAGCGAGCCCCGAGGAGCGGGGTGGGTGGCGGAGGAGGGCAGAGCTGTCCTCGCCGTGTCTGCGGGGAGCGAGGGTGGGGAAGGGGCCGGGGCGTTGCTCCGGCTCCGGGGGCCCCTTTGAAGCGGGGCGGGCCATTGAAAGGCAGCGGGACCCCGGGGGCCGCCAGCGGGGGGGGCGGCCACGACCCCTTTTCTGAGCCGGCCCCGGGCACTCCCCGGGCCCACACGGGGGGTGCGGCCTCACACAGGGGCCGGTGCCCCCCGGCAGCGCCCGCGGGGACCCGGGGTGGGCGCTGGGGGCGGAGGGGACATCGTGGCGGGGTGTCCGCCCTGAGGGCTCCGGGGTGCCAGGGTTCCGTTCCAGGGCCTCCAGCGAGCCGTGATTTTTGGGGTGCCCACGCCGGGGGCTCTGAGGTGTCCAAGCCAGGCGTTGTGGGGTGCCGTGACCTTCGGGGTGTCCGTGCCGGCGGCTCCAGGGTGCCATGACTTTTGGGGTGCGCACAGCGGGGGTAGCAGCAGGATAACAGGGGCTGGGGGGTGCCGGGGTGCCCTTGCCGGGGGCAGCGCGGTGCCGGTGGCGGTGCCGGGTTGGCAGCCCCGTGGGAGCGGCGCCGTGGGAAGGCGCCCGCGGGTCCCGGGCGCAGGAAGCCGCCGGCCCGGGGCTGTCAATGGCCGGAAGGCGGCGGCGGGACCCCCGGTCCCGGCCCGGGACCGGCCCCGGCGACACTTCCCCTTCCCGGGTCAGCGGCCGCTTCCCCGTCCCGCCCGTCACCTCCCGCCGCCCCCCCCGGGTACGAGCGGCCGGCGTGGTCCGGGGAGCCCCGCACGTGCCCCGGACCCGGGGGTCGGTGGCTCGGGGGGGCCCGGGGGGTCCGGGGCTGCCGGTGCCGGTGGGCACGTGCGGGGGGCGGGGCCGGGCGGGGGCGGGGCCGGGGCGGGGCCGCGGAGCCGATTAAGCGGCGGGAGCCGGGGCGGCCGCAGCGCGATCGCATCGTCCCCGCGGGGCAGCACCGGACAGCGGGCACGGAACACCGGGCACTGAACATCGGGCACCGAACATCGGGCACTGAGCAGCGGACACCGGCTGTCGGCACTGGGCAGCGAACACCGGGCACAGGGTATCGCCACCGGACAACGGGCAGCGGGCACAACCACTGGCACCGGGCACCGGGCACCGGCACCGATACAGACACAGACACCGGCTCCGGCTCCTGCGCGCCCGGCGCGGCCCGGCCCGGTGAGTGCTGGACTGACCCCCGGAGCGGTTCGGGTTTACGGATCCGTGTCCCCCCGGTGCCCTCGGCAGGGTCAGCTCTCGTCCCGGTGTCCCCCGCCACCCCGGGGTGCTGAGACACCCGCTGTCCCCAAATCCCCTTTCCCCTGGAGAGGGACAGCCCTCGTTCCCACGTCCCCTGTGCCACCCCGGGGTGCTGGGACAGCCCCTGTCCCTTGTCCCTCCTGCCACTCCTGCGAGCTGGACAGTCTCGGTCGCGATGTCCCCTGGGACAACTCTAGGAGTGGGAACAGCCCTGGTCCCCATGTCCCCTGCCCCATCTGTCACCCCAGGGTGTAGGGACCGCCCCTGTCACCAAATTCTCTGCATGCCTGGGAGCTGGGACAGCCTCTGTCCTCATGTCCCCTGCATGCGCTGCCACTCTCAGGAGTAGGGACACCCCTGGTCCCCGTGTCCCCTGTGCGCCCCCTCAGGGTGCAGGGTTGTCCCCACGTCACCTGGAAGCGACCTCTGTCACCCTCAGGGATCGAGGGAAGACACAGTTCCCAGGTTCCCCGGCGTGCAGGGACACCCCATGTCCCCTGGGGGCATCCCTCGTCCCACACGCCTTTCCTGTGCCACCCCCAGGGCGGGGACATCAGGGACAGTCCCTGCCTGCCCTGAGCAGGACCGTGCACCCCTCTGTGCACTCTGTGAGGTCCTGGGGTCCCCTAAGCCCCCCCTGTCCCGCGACACGGGTGGGAAGGAGCTGCAGTGACCGTCCCAGTGCCACCAGCACGCTGGGGAGGGCAGGGAGCCAAGGTCCCCACGGGCGGCACAGCCACGTCCCAGCAGGGCGGAGGGCCCGGGGAGGGCCCGGGGAGGGCCGGGGGGGGTGGCCCGGCGTGCCAGGCCAGCGGCGCTGACACCCATTTCCATTTCCTCCTATTCCAGCTCCAGGAACAATGGCAGAGCCATTCCTCGTGGAGAGCCCCAACGTCACCTACAGCAAGGACTTCATCGAGGCCAAGTACACGTACAGCACCGTGCACGTCTGCAAGGAGAACGGCGTCACCAAGGTGGGCAAGGGCTCCGGGGGGCTTGGGAGGGGCTCTGCTCGTCCCCGCTGTCCCCAGCTGTCCCCTCTCTCTGTCCCCAGGTGCGGCCGTGCTCCACCCGCTTCACCTTCCGCACGGGCCGGCAGGTGCCGCGCCTGGGGGTGATGCTGGTGGGCTGGGGGGGCAACAACGGCACCACGGTGACAGCGGCCGTGCTGGCCAACAAGCTGGGGCTGTCCTGGATGACCAAGACGGGCCGCAAGGTGGGTGTCCCCAGCAAGGTGGGTGTCCCCAGCAAGGTGGGTGTGCCCAGTGTGACCTGAGTGAGGGGGTTCCCCACAGTGTCACCCTTGCAAGGTGGGTGTCCCCAGAGAGATCTCAGAGAGGTGAGTGTCCCCAGTGTGACCTCAGTGAGAGGGGTGTCCCCAGTGTCACTCCAGCAGGATGGGTGTCCCCAGAGATACCCCGGCAAGGGTGATGTCCCCAGTCTGATGCCAGCGAGGTGAGTGTCCTCAGCAGGGTCCCTGCTAGAGGTGTGTCCCCATTGTGACCCAAATGAAGAGGGTGTCCCCAGAGTGACCCCAGTGGGGTGGGTGTCCCCAGAAACACCCCAGCGAGGGCCTGGGGTCATCCCACAGGGATGGGGACACCAAAGTCAGCTGCTCTGCTGTCCTGCACCCCAATCTCCTCCCTGCCCCTGCAGAGGGGTGCTCTGCAGCCGCAGCCTCCCACTTTGGGGGTGCTGGGACCCCTCCTCCCCCTGCCAGCGCCTCATCCTTGCCCGTCCCATCCCAGAAAGCCAATTACTACGGCTCCCTGCTCCAAGCCTCCACCGTGTGCCTGGGCACCGGCCCCTCCGGTGATGTCTACGTGCCCTTCCGGGACCTGCTGCCCATGGTGCACCCCAACGACATCGTCTTCGATGGTAGGTGGGACACGGGGGGGACCCCACAGCGGCGCGGGGCACCCCGAGCTCTTGGGTCACCCCGTGTCCCCCAGGCTGGGACATCTCCTCGCTGAACCTGGCTGAGGCCATGAAGAGGGCGGAGGTGCTGGAGTGGCCGCTGCAGGAGCAGCTCTGGCCCCACATGGAGAAGATGAAGCCCCGACCTTCCATCTACATCCCCGAATTCATCGCCGCCAACCAGGAGGAGCGAGCGGACAACGTCCTGCGGGGCTCCATGGCCGAGCAGGTCCCGGCGGGGCGGGACAGGGGAGGGGACAAGGGAGGGGACAGCCACCGAGCTGACCCGTCCTCTCCCCCCCGCCTCGGCCGTGTCCCAGGTGGAGCAGATCCGCAGGGACATCCGAGACTTCAAGGAGAGCAGCGGGGTGGACAAAGTCATCGTCCTGTGGACGGCCAACACGGAGAGATTCTGTGACATCGTGCCGGGGCTCAACGACACCGCCGACAACCTGCTGAGGGCTATCGAGGTCAGGGGGAGGGCGAGGGGAGCGGGAGAGTGACGCCGCAGCCGCGGTGGCACTGAGCTGTCCCCGTGTCCCCGCAGCGAGGCCTGGAGGTGTCCCCGTCCACGCTTTTCGCCGTGGCCAGCATCCTGGAGGGCTGTGCCTACATCAACGGGTCCCCTCAGAACACCTTCGTGCCCGGGGCCGTGGAATTGGCCGCCCAGCGCCGCGTCTTCATCGGCGGCGACGACTTCAAGTCGGGGCAGACCAAGCTCAAGTCGGTGCTGGTGGATTTCCTGGTGGGAGCCGGGCTTAAGGTATGTGGGGGGCTAAAGAGGGGGTGTCCTCACCTGCAGGGGACAGAGGGGGTGACCTGCCCATGCCTCCTGCCCCAGACCAAGTCCATCGTGAGCTACAACCACCTGGGGAACAATGATGGGAAGAACCTGTCGGCGCCGCAGCAGTTCCGTTCCAAGGAGATCTCCAAGAGCAACGTGGTGGACGACACGGTCCAGGCCAACCCCATCCTCTACGGCCCCCAGGACAAGCCTGACCACTGCGTGAGTGCGGGGGTCTAGGGGGGGGTCACACACACACTCGGAGGTGACAATGGGGGTGACAGGGACGTGGCTTTGGCAGGTGGTGATCAAATATGTGCCCTACGTGGGGGACAGCAAGCGGGCGCTGGATGAGTACACGTCCGAGATCATGATGGGCGGCACCAACACCATCGTCATCCACAACACCTGCGAGGTGCGTGCAGGGCCGCTGGGGTGTCCCCAAGGTGTCCCCTCGGTGCCAGGGTGGCTCCTGACCCCCAGGCTGCCCGCAGGACTCCCTGTTGGCCAGCCCCATCATCCTGGACCTGGCCATCCTGACGGAGCTGTGCCAGCGCATCACCTTCTGCACCGAGGCCGATCCCGAATTCCAGGGCTTCCACAGCGTCCTGTCCATCCTCGCCTTCCTCTGCAAGGCCCCGCTGGTGCCCGAGGGCACCCCCGTGGTCAACGCCCTCTTCCGCCAGCGCAGCTGCATCGAGAACATTCTGAGGTACCCGGGGGGGTCCCCAGTCCTCGTGGTCACCAAGTGCCACCACCCCGGTGCCCGCAGTGGCACCCAAAGGCTTGTAAGGGGATCCCAGGGGGGTCCCAGTGCCCACCGTGGGGTGTCCAAATCCAGGGGGTCCTGGAGCTCAGTGCTGCTGGGTTGGTCCCAGTGTCACCAGTGGGTTCCAGTATGTGCTGGTGGCTGGGTCGCAGCATGGATGGGTCCCCGTTTCCCAGTCATGGGGTGCCCAAGGGGACCAAGATCCCAATGCCTGGGGTGTCCCAACACACAGACCCTGTACCCAGCGCCCAGGGGACCCTGCACCAGTGGCTCCCAGTACCTGATGCCCGAGGGAGTGCCCAAAACGAATGGATCCCAGTGCCCAGCACCAGTAACCAAAGCTCGGGGTTCCCAGCACCAGTGGCTCCCAGTAACCAAAGCTTGGGGTTCCCAGTGCCAATGGGTCCCAAAGTTTGGGGTTCCCAGCACCAGTGGCTCCCAGTAACCCATGCTCGGGGTTCCCAGTGCCAATGGGTCCCAAGCCTGTGGTTCCCAGTGCCTGGGCTGCCCAACTCCAGTATCCCCCAGTTCCCAAAGCTCATCACCAGCACATCCCATTCCCCCCAGCGTCTCCTATTGGGTGCCCAGTGCCATCACGTCCCCAAGCCCGGGGTGCCCTCTGTGACCCCCCCTCCCCGTGTGTGTCCCCAGGGCCTGCCTGGGGCTGCCCCCCCAGAACCACATGCTGCTGGAGCACAAGATGCAGCGGCCAGAACCGAGCCCCAAGCGTGCCTGTCCCGGGGGGGCCTCCTGCCCCCTGCTCCCCAAGAAGAGCCCGGCAGCGCCCACCCAGCTCAACGGGCACCCCTGTGCCCCCCGGCCGGGGCCCCCCCGAGCCCCCCTGCACATCGACGGCGCCGACTAACCCCGAGGGACAGCCCGGAGCAGCTTTTTAGGGGGGTGGGGGGCGACGGGGGGTGGGTTATTGACCCCAATTATTGATGGCGACTCCAAAACTGTGAAGCTTTGTACCCACCAATAAACCTGGAGCACAGCGTGACCCCCCTGCCCTCCCCTCCCCCGGTTTTTGGGGTCTCTTCACTCGGGTTTTGGGGTTCCTCGCTTGGTTCTTGGGGTTCTCATTTGGTCTTTGGGGTCCTCCAGGTGGTTCCTGGGAATCTCACCTGGTTTTGGGGTCCCTTCACTGGGTTCTTGGGATTCCCCTCACCCTCGTTCGTCTTCATGTGGTTTTGGGGTCCCCCCACCCCCAGCGAGACCCAAATATCGTCGCCTTCTGAAAAAAAATCAAATTACATTTATTGATGCGGGGTGGGGGGGTGTTGGGGAGGTCGTGGAGTGTTTTTTTTTTTTTTTAATTTTAGGGCTTTTTTTTT